TACTTAGAACTTTGGTCTCAGAGGTCACTTAATCCAATTTTCCGTTCCTGTCAAGGAAGCTTTGCCAGACTCTTTCAGCCTCTACTTGACGGGAAATGCCCACCACGTTGGGGCAGCTCTTTGGAATTTTGGACAGTTCTGACAAATCATGTTGAAAAAATGCCCTGTGTCTTTGTAACTTTCATTCGTTAGTTTTAGTCCTGTCCCGTGGATACACAGAAGAAGCCTGTTGGAAGTCTGAAGTCAATCTTCATGGAATGCTGTCATTTCTCTAAGAAATGACTCTAGATTCTACAACTGTTCCTCTTGAGGCAAAGTTTCATATTCCCTCTTGTTCTGGTTATTCTCTTTTTTTCCAGATGCTGGTTTGTCTAGATCCCTCTTAAAGTGTGCTGTCAGCCTGGCTGGTGTGGCTTAGTGATTTTGTGGGGCATGCAGGGAGGCAGCCAATCAATGATTCTCTTTTATAATTGATGTTTCCAGATCTCTCTCTCTTCTTCCATCTCTGAAATATAGAGTTTAAAAAGTATGCTGCCAGAAAATGCCCCCTGAGCATTTTGTGGAGATCTGACCGTTATGATCACTTCCATCATTCTCAACACTGTTCCTCTTCTTGTGGCCTAAGCATTTTTGACAGAATCAAATCCCTTCTCTTCAGTGATTGCCTTGGCACAGGCAGCAAACTGCTACTCTGCCAGAGCGAAAGCAAAAGATGCAGTCGAGTCTGGCTGCATCTAGGAACCTTTACAGAGAATAGGCTGGGGACCTGGACAGGGGCAAGAACAAAGATAGATGTGGAACTATAGAGTGGCTTGTTTGGGATGGTTGGGAAGGGAAGATTTAAAACTGAGAGATAGTAAAAGTTAATTTGAAGCTGAAAAATTTGAAGTGGAGGTCGGAAAAGTAATCAGATCCTATCTTGGATCCTATTCAATAGCAGCTGCTACTTGCATAAAGCAAGGAAGACTTCAAAAAAATCAAAGTTGTTAAGAAAAATCCAGATGTTGTTGCTTTTGTATGTTGCGATAGTATGCTGGCTAGTATACTATCCAAGATGGCCCCTAATGATTCTTATCTCCTTGCTTCCTTGTTCATACTCTTCAGGCTAAGTAACCAATAGAATACTGTGGAAATGATGGATGTTACTTCTGATTAGGTCATGAAAGATGTGGCTGTTGCCTTGCTCTCATGGATCACTTGTTCTTGGAGGATGTCAGCCACCATGTCATGAAGCCCTACAGAAAGATCTTCATGGTAAGAAACTTGGGCTTCTTGCCAACTGCCAGCAACTTAGTAGCCTTGTGAGTGAGCCATGTTGGAAGCCTGTTAAACCTTTAGAGGACCCTTATAGATACCCTTGACTGTAACCTTTAGAGACATCAAACCTGAACTATCCAGCTAAGTTCCTCCTAAATCCCTCATCTAGAAACACTATGAAATAATGTTTATTGCTGTTTAAATTACTAAGCTACTAAATTTAAAGTCACTAAAGTTTGAGGAATTTGTTATGCAGCTATGGATAACTAATACAGATAGGATAGAAAGGAGGAATGAAAAGTAAAGGCTGCCGAAACCGGTTTGGCTCAGTGGATAGAGCGTCGGCCTGCAGACTGAAAGGTCCCAGGTTCCATTCTGGTCAAGGGCATGTACCTTGGTTGCGGGCACATCCCCAGTAGGGGGTGTGCAAGAGGCAGCTGATCGATGATTCTCTCTCATCGGGTAAAAAAAATCAATACAAATATTTTTAAAAAGAAAAGAAAAGGCTGCTCATACTAGGCTTGTCCTGCCCACTAGAAGTGGAACAAGGACTAGCTTCATTTCTACTTTAGGAGACTGCTGACAGCCACCTGGGCTAGAAGTTGACAAGTAGGTCCTCCTGTCTCCTCTGCCTCTTACCGCTAGAGGAGGACTAGGATGACATTAAGAACTCACACAAATTTTGTTTACAGCTTTTCAGTGGCTCCTGAGAAAAGCTGTATTGTCCTGCTAGTAGGCTTTGGGTCCTTGAGAGCATGTCTCAGATCTTATTTGTTTCTATCCCTATTGCCTAGCAAGTGAACATTTATGAACAATGAATGATATTAAGGGAGAGAGCAAAATACCTCCTCCTTCTGAATTCTGGAGAGTCCATTCTTGTAGAGGAATCACAGTTCATCAAGGAAGTTTCAGTAATAATAGCATGCATGGCATTTTCACTATTAAAAAAACAACAACACCAAACCACCCCCTTTCACTGTTTTAAAAAGTCCCTCTATTTAAGTTCATTGCTTTTAAGAGCTTCCTTTCACATGACCATTCATTTCTTCTATGAAGTGTTGCTTTAACTGTTGCTCAAACTCCCAAGATGCTTGATTCAAGGGAGCAAAGATCTGCTGCAGATATACTAACATACCACTGCCAAAGCTGCCCAAAATTCACAGTGGAAAGACCCCTGGAATAGAATCAGGAGACCTGTTTCCGGGCTGCTGTCACCGATTAGCACATGTGTCCTTGGGCAAGTTTGCTCTCTCTCTCTCCTCCTCAGTTTTTTTTTTTTTTTTTTTTTTTTTTTTTTTTTTTTTTTACCTTAAACTGAGGAAGTGGATCCAGTGGGAGTCCTCACAAGTTTGGGTTCCAAGGTGCAATCCAAAAGTGAAAGCAGTGGCCAGTATGCCTCCTATGGGTACAGTACAAGGTTTCCTGGACTTCCCTTTTCATCCCAAGGATGTGGCCTCGGTGAAAGGCTGTCAAGTTTACTGACTGGGAAGAGTCTTCCGGGTTTGAAAGCACGATCGCCGCGTTTCCAGTTGGGTTACCAATCCTGGGTGACCTTGGGCAAATTCTTCTCTCTGGACGTCGGAGCACGGACGTCCCTGTTATCCAGAAGAGGCTCGAGGACCTGGGAAGTGACCTGGAGAGCTTTCCGCGAGACTGTTTCCTACCAACTGGGTATCTCAGCCCCTGCGCGGGGTCCAGCCCCGCCTGCAGTCCGCTCCCGGGCGCAGTCGAAACTTCAAGCAGCTGGGCTCCTGAGGAGGTGGCTACAGGTGAGTTCTTAAAGGGGCCGCTCGAGCTTGGGCAATACCTGAGACTGAAGCCTGGGCGGGGGACGCAGGCCAGGAGGAATGAATGGGAGAGTAAAAGACGGAACTTCTCTTCCCACGCTTTACATGCATTCCTGCTAGGAATTAATCTCGGAGATTTTTAAAATCCACTAGTAACACCCTAACACTTGTATCAAAGTAACCAATCTCCCCATCTTATCTGCCTTTCTTTCATGAACAACCTCCTCCCCTCCCCCGGAAAATTTTTACTAATGGGCAAAGAGTAACTTAAAAAAAAAAAAAATCCACACGAAGTGGAAGACAGTGCAGGGATGGTACCCCAGCCCAAGCACCTCTCCCCCGATCCCCCTTCCCAGGCTCCGCCTTCTCCCGCCCCCTGACCTGGCCGGTGCCGGCGACTGCTCCGCCCCGGTCGCTCCTCCAGGTGGGACACCCACCCCGGGGGCGACAGGCACTTTCTCCTGAATGGAGTTGAAAGCAGCACGTGTTTAGGTGTTTAGGGAGGTTACAGCGTGTCCCCCGGAAAATGCCTCGGACCCGGTGCTGGTGAAGCCACCTCTGTCTTCAGACACCCCGACCCTTTCGAGCCCGGGGTGCGCCCCGCTCCGAACCGCGGGACAAGCCCCGGTGGGTTCTAGGGCGAGCCCGCCCGGCCACCTGTAGAGCCCGCGTGCCAACTCCTTTGTCCTCGGAGCCCCTCCGCGGGCCGCCCCTGGGAGCGGGGAGGGTCACCGGGACGCCGCCGGGGGTCCGCCTCCCCCTCCCCGGCCCCCGCCCGGCCCTCCTCCCCCTCCCCACCCGCCGGCAGCGCGGAGAGCCCGAGGCTCCGCGCGAGCCGCCTCCTCACTTCCCATTGGCTGCGGGCGCCGGGGAGGCGGTCACGTGGGGGCGCGACCGTCCAGCCTCGGGGCCGCCATCTTGGCGGAAAGTTTGGGGGGGAGAGAGGTTGGGGGCGCGGAAGGAGGCGAGGTTCCGGGGGTGGGACGGCGAGGAGGGGCGAGCGGGCGAGCCGGGGAGCGGGCCCGGGCGAGCGAGGAGGAGGCGGCGGCCGAGGGCGAGGAAGAGGCCGCGGGGGTGCGGCCGCCGCGGGGAGCTCCTCCCTCCCTCCCCCCCGGTTCCCTCACCCCCCTCAGCTGAGCTCCTCCGGCCCCGGGCGGGCGGGGCGGGGGGACGTGGAGCGGGGCCGGGCCGGGGAGCCGCCCCGAGGAGGTCCGGGGCGCACCCCAGCTCGGAGCGCTCGCCGCTCTCCGGACGGAACTTTGTGGCGGCGCCGCAGGTGTGGGGCCCGCGGCGGAGAGCGGCCCGCGGCGGAGGGGGTGCATGCGGGGCGCGAGGGCGGCGCGGAGAGCGGCCGCTGCCCTGTCCGGCCCCCGCTGGAGGCGCCCGGAGGAAGCGCGCCCGGAGGGAGACAGGCAAGCGAGGGGAGGGGGCCCGGGCGCGGCGCGGCGCGGCGCGGCGAGGAGCCCCGCCGGTCCCGTTCTCGGAGCGGTTTACCGCCGCCGCTGGCTGGGGGGCTGGGGGCCGGGGTTTGGGGCGCCCGGTGCCCATCCCAGGCGCCGGCGGGGAGTCTGCGCGCCGGCGCCGCCGGGGGAGGGGGTGGCCTCCCGTCTGGGCATTGGGTGCTGTTTGGAGAGGGGGCTGCTTTCGAGGAGGAGCATCTGGAAGCCGACTTGGGTCCCCTCTCTGCTTGCAGAGGTGTCACCCCCCTGGTGAAAGCTTTCTTCTTGAGTGACTGGCACCGCTGGGTTTGGAGGCGCTGCCATTCACTTGGGGAAAACTTTGCCCAGGTGGGTTCTCCCAGGTGGGGCTGGCTGGGAGTTTTTTCCGATGGGAGATTTGGGGGTCGGGGGGGGGATGCTAGTTTCACCCATGAGTCTCTCTTCTCTGTCTTGAGTTGTGTTTCTTCCCTGATTTATGTTTTAAAGGTGTGTGCCCTCTTCCTGATCCTGGGGAAAAATGCCGGTCCGGAAACAAGGTGAGAGAGCATGTGTGGTGGAACTGTTCTCGTGGGTGGCACTTGCTTGTCTGTATGTCTTGTTTTCTGATGGGTGGGTTTTATTCATGTTGAACTCGAATGAGTCGGCCCAGTCCCATCCTGGGTGCTTAGGGAATCTGTAAGCCTCACGTCATTCAGAAGGTGGGACACACATCCATATGTTCGTCAAACTTTTCCTTGGTGTCGCACTAGAAACTGTTATAAAGAGGCGATGTTTTACCTCTGAACGTCGTCTTAAAAACTCTGAATGGGTGTTTTAATATTTGACGATATCATTCTTGCTAAACACTGTTTTGAGCAATGTGGGATGCTCATATAGTTTTTTTAATTATAATTTTGAATCAGTTAATATTTGGGTTATAAGGACAAATTATAGATTTTCTGTTTTTGCATCAGATCAGCTGAAACTGTTACCAATACTTTGATTAAAGTGATCTTTTATGGTGGTGGACTATCAGTACACATTTATTAAAACTATGTGCCTTGCTCTTTTTATGCTGTGACATATATTTCAATTTTTAAAAATCATTCTAAGGAATAGAGGTGTGCATGAACATAGCAGCATCAGTTGACCAGGAGGATTTGGGAACTGTATAGATAGATGCCTTGCAGAATCATTTGCTGTGCAGCTACTTGTAATACTTGTAAAATAATTTTAATCAGACTTTATTTTTTTCTTCAGATACCCAGAGAGCATTGCAACTGCTGGAAGAATATCGTTCGAAACTAAGCCAAACTGAAGACAGACAGCTCAGAAGTTCCATAGAACGGGTTATTAACATATTTCAGAGCAACCTCTTTCAGGCTTTAATAGGTGGGAGTCAAAACTTTGTGACCATTATCTGTCAGCTAGGCTTAATGTTCCTGTGATTTAATTTATTTTAAACTTAAGAGAGTGATGTACTTGGTTCTCTTTGAGGCATTCAGTAACTTGAACATCCAGTGAGTTATGTATTTCGATAGGCCAATATTCTTTCTAAAAATATCTAAAACAGCCTTTCAATATGATTATTTTGGTAATCTTCGAAAACAATGTTTTCTGTTCTAGTATAACTATTAAAAGAGAGTGTAGTTAGAAAAATGTTCCCCACTTTAAAGTTAACGACTGAGTTACTGTTAGCTTTCCGTATTTGATTTGTATTTCTCTGGAGTCCTTGAAAATGTTTGAAGAGTTAACAGAGCATTCATTTACCTTAACACAGACCTCTGTTTAAACTTGGCATTCAGAATTTTAGATCTGAAAATGGTCTTAGAGATGATCTTGTCCAATCTTGTTTTATAGGCAAGAAAATTGAAACCAAATTGTATTCTTAATTGTAACTTAAATTTGAAGTGATGCATTGTTTTAAATGAGAACTGAATAAATAAGAGTCCTGCATTCTATTCCTGACACTGCCATTAGTTGAACGATACTACGTAAATTATATAACCTTTTTTGATAATTTATTCTCTAGAATGTGGATGCAATGGAATAGTGGTTTTAAGACTTTTTTAAAAAAGTAGCTAGATCCTTTTTTAAAACAAAATCTTATATTTTGTAAACAATCACCAATGTATAAAACAAGGTGATTAGTCTCTGGCCCTCTCCTCTAGTTACCTGAAAAAGTGTACAAACCAGTGAACTAAAAATTTGTCTTTTCCAATTCTAAAAATAAAGTGTTTTTTTTATTAGTCACTGACTATATATCGATAACATATTAAAATAAGACCTATACTTGATTGCATTATAGTTATTTCCTCAGTAACCTCCACGTAGATATAGCTTTACATCTCATCTATCTGTTGATAGAGTAACTTTTGATGTGATTTGAGGTCCACCTTCAAGTTAGTGTACTCAGAAATAACTTGCAGGTAAATTGGTATTTTCTACAAAATTTGTTTCAGAATTAAAGAAGATTTTAAAAACCATTCAATACACCTGAGTAAGTTTTTAAAATTTAACATTATAAACTTTAAAAAATATACAAAACTAGAGATTACAGTATAATGAACTGTTATATATCTATCATTTACCTTAAAAAATTATCAATATTTTGCTTTTTTTTTTAAACTGATGAACTATAAACTGATGAACATATTTTATATTTGAATTTCTAAACTGATGTTTAAGGTCCAAATGGACGATTAAATTGGATTCTTCTGTAAAAACAGCAAGAAAAAAGAAAGGGAAATAATTTTTTGTTATTTGGTTTTCTAAACCAATATTAAACATAGGAATGTTTTATTTTGTGGGGTAACTGTTTAAAAAAATAGGATGAGTATTAAGTCCTCATTTACATATAGTTGTAGACATAGACAGATGCAGTTCTGTGTGAAGTCTGCAACTTAAGAAAATCAGTTGCTTAGTGAAGTAACCAAACAGTTTATGCTTAGATCTCTCTGTAGATTGGAGGTAGATTTGCTGTTTGGAGTTTTTTTTTTTTTTTTTTTTTACATATTCTGCATTGCCTATTTTGAATGTTTTTATCTATTCTTATTCATAATTGAATTTTGATAGAATCAGTTTTCTAATTATTAAGGTTATATTTGTGAATCTTTGTCCTGCATAATTTCATTGGTTGTGAATTTACTTTGATATTTAGATTTACTTATATTTTAAATTTTTTTTGGTTGGGGATGTGGTATCAGATTTTGGTTTAAGGAAAGTAATAGATTTTAGGAATTTTGAAACAGGTTGATTTCGTAGAGGTTTTCATTCTATTAATTGAATTGTTAAAAACATGTGCATTCTTTTCTATTTGCTGAATTTAGATTAATTTATTAGCCTTTATTATTTCAGTGTTTGAAAATATTTAGGTCAATTTCATTTTCATTTTCCTCTGCACCTACACCATTGCTTTTGAAATAGTGTGATAATGTACTTTACACCTATAAATAACATTGCAGGATCATATGGTAGTTATATTTTAATTTTTGAGGAACTATCATACTGTTTTCCATAGAAGCCATCTTAATGGATATCAGAATATGACACTTTTAAGTGTGTGTAAACAAATAATGGCTAACATTTATTAAGCATCTGTTTAGTTATCATAATCTTATGAGGTGTGTATATTCACCTTGAGATTATTATACATACCATTTTATAGATTAGAAAACTGAGTCACTGAGAAATGACTTATTTTGCCCAACGATGCTAAATTGTGGAGCCAGAGGCTTACAGAGAGTTAGAAACATTGATGAGAGAGAAACATCAATCAGCTGCCTCCTGCACACCCCCTACTGGGGATGTGCCGGAAACCAAGGTACATGCTCTTGACCAGAATAGAACCTGGGTCCTTTCAGTCCACAGGCCGACGCTCTATCCACTGAGCCAAACTAGTTTCGTCAGGCTGAATATTTTAATGTAATAAAGACCACTAACAACAATCATGCTTAACATAGATATTGATCTGTATGGTCAGTGGTATTTTATTTATTTATTTATTTATTTATTTATTACTTTGAAGGTGAATGAATGTTCATGAAGATGGAATTTATGTATTTTTGAAAAGCATAGTTAACTTAGTAAGCAAAGGGTGAACTTCCAGGTTTAATGGTAAAATGTCAGAATTTTCTTAGATTTTTTGACTTGTTATTGATTCCAGTAATGTTAAATTTTATCTGTTGCTGTGTGTGTATAACTTTGCAGGTTAGTTTTGAGAAAGAAAAACATATATGGATGTGGATCAACTAATATATTAGCTAAAATTTTATGGAATTGGAGGAAAATTTTATAAAATTTTTAGTTGGTGGTTTTGATTGAATTAAATTGTTAATAGTTTCATTACTACTGATCTGAATCAGTGCTTTGATTATGTTGAATCTGGTTGAATTCTTTTTAGAACCTTTTAATCACATCTATAAAGCATCTATAAATACTTTTTGTAGTTTAAGCTATTTCATTTATATAGGGTCAAATTTCTCTACTGAATTTTTCCTTTTCTAATTATTTTTTCAGTACTCTATACAGTCTGGGACGAAGTATTTAATTTAGTTGTCATGTCTTTATAGTGTCTTTTAATCTGGGTACTTTTCCATAATCTTCCGTTATCTTTTATGACATTGACATTTTTGAAGAACACAGTTCTCCATTACTCTTATTTTTTTATATATTGTTTCTCATTTTGGGTTTTTCTTATGTTTGCTCATGATTAGATTTAGGTTACGTATTCCATAGGGTTCTGTACATCCAGAGGTATACATCTTCTGCCCTTCATTGATGATGTTACTTTTGATCACCCAATTAAGGTGATATCTCATTACTCTACAATTACCTCCCTTCCCCCCCCCCCCCCCCCCCCTTGCATCTTATAAGCAAATTAGAGGCCCATTGCACAGATTCATCCACTGGTGGGGTCCTCAGCCTGGCCTGAAGGGATCAGTGGGTCCCCACACCCATGCAGCCCGACAAGCTTATGGGCTCCAGCTCGCTGTCCACGTCTATCTCACACAGCATGAAGTAGTGCACGAAGCAGCAGGCAGCTGGGGAGGAGCCTGAGCTTGGGCTGGGCACCTCACTACTCCCGTTCATCCCAGGCCTGCTTGCGCCTGCAGGAGAGCGTCCACGGGAGAGCCTAGTGCTGCCAAAGCTGTGCTTGCCAGCCATCAGCCACCCATCAGCTGAGAGGTGTTCCCGTGCTCCCACTGTGAGTGTGCACTGACCACCAGGAGCCAGCTCCTGCATTGAGCATCTGCCCCCTGGTGGGCAGTCTGCATTATAGCTACTGGCTGGTCATCCAGTCTCTTAGGCTTTTATATATATAGACTAGAGGCCCGGTGCATGAAATTAGTGATTGGGGTGGGGAGGGTGTCCCTCAGCCCAGCCTGTACCCTCTCCAATTTGGGACACCTTGAAGGATGTTAAACTGCTAAATGGGCAGTCAGACATCCCTCTCACAATTCAGGACTGCTGGCTCCCAACTGCTCGCCTGCCTGCCTTCCTGACTACCCCTAACCACTTGTGCTGCCAGCCTGATCACCCCCTAACCACTCCCATGCCAGCCTGATTGATGTCTAACTGCTCCCCTGCCAGCCTGTTTGCCTCCAACTTCCCTCCTCTGCTGGCCTGGCCACCCCTAACTGCCCTCCCCTACAGAGTAATATGCAGATTGACCATCACTCCAACACACAAGATAGCTGCCCCCATGTGGTCAAAAATCCTGCCATCCACTGACCAAAGAATATCATAGTTCCTACCCCTGCCTTCTCTGTCCTGACTCAGCCACCAGAACACATCTTGCTGGACTGCATTTTGCTGACTCTGCATGAGCCTCTGACATGCATAGTTGAGGTTGAGGAATCTGTGCCTAGTGGCTGGACACAAGATGGCCACCACAAGATGGCCAGCAGGGGAGGGCAGTTGGGAGGCACGAGGCCTGCAAGGGAGAGCAGTTGAGAGGGACCAGGTTTGCAAGGAAGGGTAGTAGAGGCGATCAACCCTGTAGGAGAGGACAGTTTGGGGTGGCCAGGCCAGCAGAGGAGGGAAATTGGGGGCAAACAGGCTGGCAGGGGAGCAGCTAGACATCAATCAGGCTGGCATGGGAGTAGTTAGGGGGTGATCAGGCTGGCAGCAGAAGTGGTTAGGGATAGTCAGGAAGGCAGGCAGGCAAGCAGTTGGGAGCCAGCAGTCCTGAATTGTGAGAGGGATGTCTGACTGCCCATTTAGCAGTTTAAATCCACATGGGGGCAGGATTTTTGACCACAGGGAGGCAGCTATATTGTGTGTTGGAGTGATGGTCAATCTGCATATTACTCTTTTATTAGATAGGATAGAGGCCTGGTGCACGAGTGGGGACTGGCTGGTTTACCCTGAAGGGTGTCCCGGATCAGGGT